AAGGTATTCTGCTACATTTCTTTGGTGAAATTAACCCAAATCAGTGTTTATTATTTAGACTGAAGGAAAGTTATAGAGTCCACAATCTATGGTATATATCTGAAAAATGATCAGTCCTGATGTACTGATGGCCAATCTCATTTCTTGAGGCCCAAAAATGTCAGGACAGTACAAATATCCACCAAATGACCCCTTTTTGGAAGGTAGACAGCCCAAGGTATTTATTAAGAGGCATAGTGAGATTTTTGAAGTTGTAATTTTTTTGTCATAATTTTTTGTGAAAACGAAGAAATGTTTACCATTTGTTTACATACTGTCACCAGTGCAATACAGTGTCATACAATACAGTGTAACAGGTGTGGCAGTGATCAGGGACACTGACTAGTGACAGTAAAGAAAAAAATAACAAAAACATTTTAAATATATTTTTTATTACATTTTATTTTTTTTTTAACAATTTTTTAACACACTGTGACCAGAGAAATATAATGTTACTGTAGTAAAAGTGTACTACTCTAGGGAAGTGATCAGGATTTATTTTTATACATTATGATTACTTACAGCAGTGAATTTCACTTCTATAAGCAATCATTTTGCTGAATAAAATCCATTCATTTAGTGTGTTTTGATGTGATTAACTGTGATTGGCCACAGCTAATCACATGGTACAGATGGGCTGTGATTGGCCCTGTCTGTACCATGTGATCACTCTGACCAAAAACAGCTAGCAACACAATTGTACACAATGAATGGTATGAATCGAAACCATTGATTGTTTACAATTGACATGTGATCTGCTGTGATTGGTCACAGGTATCACATGGTACCAGAAGCAGGCTGGTACAGTGATCTGTCATCGGCTGTGTCCAGTGGGCACAGTCGGTGACAGATTGCTTCCGCAATGTGGCCGCATTGCCGTGAGCAAGGCTCGTTCTGGGAGAATGTCATATGATGTCCACCCGAAACAACGAAAGTCCTGCCCCTCTGTCATATTGTAGTAGTTAAAGGACAATTTTACTTTTAGAGAAGTTTGTCCTTTGCACAAACCCTCTCACTGTGTAGCAGTGCCTGGTACATCACAGCCTTCGCAAGCCAAGCATCTGTTTCCTAGTGAGTATTCATTCATTGGATGGTATGTACTCTCATTCCTATGGATGGTCCATACTGATGGGACCTTCATCCATCCAGCAATCGGACCACATCACCACAATGTACCTGCTGACCACAATGCCTAGAGAAATGTGTTGGGGTGGCATTCACAATAAATATCACCGCAACACACTATACTGCACTGTTATTGCAATGTAAAGGCTGAATACAGTCCTGTAGTAACTTAGGGGTTGGCAGGAGATCAACTCTACCAGAAGTGTCAATTTTGGAACAGAATTCATCTGACAATATTTCCTCATCATAACAGTATTCAGTGACCTTAGTAATAGTCTGCTTTTCATGTATCGATTCTGTTGATCCAATTACATGTAAGCAAATATACAGTTTCTTTTTTATTTATCTTGCACATGATTGGGTATTTTATTGCAAAGTGAATTTTTACACACATTCACTAACCTAAGGGAATTCTCTTGTAAAGTAAATAGCCTGATTACCTTTAATAAATCAACTCCAATGTGTTAAAAATCCCTTTGCTGTATAATTGATCTTCCAAGTCTAGAGAGAAAACATGTCCTGTAGGCAAAGATATCATCCTGTTAGAAGACTGTCCACTGCTCTACCTGGGGCTCCCTGGGCTAATCTATATGCTCCATGTCCCTCCTTAAAAACTGTATCTCCAGACGCAAGTGGCATAGAATATGAGTTTCATTTGCAGATTATACACCACCATCAGCACTAGTACAGGCTTCCCTTTAGAGGTATCCTTATGCATTCCCATTTCCTCTGGCAGCTATCCATTTCCCAGGTAATAAGACTTGCTGTTTCACCAGTCAAACTAGATTATTTTAGTAACCAATCCCTGAGAAATATAGCTATAGATTGTTTCATGTTTACAAGTTTGTAACAATGTCCTTTTTAAAAAAAATAAAGATTTGTATTTGGCAACTTCATTGTGTGAAAGGAAAAAGAGGAAAAGTAACAACCCAAAAGGAAAACTAGCGAATAATGATCTGTGCTTTGCATTTGAAGCATAATCCTCTTGTAGTCTTCTGCATCTATTGTAAGTAAAGCAATGTTTACAAAATAAGTATCTTTCAAGGTCCCCTAATGTTTTATAATGTGTAATATGTTGAGGGCTTTAAATCCTTTCTTTTTCCTTTGTTTTTTCTTTAATTGCATCTCCAACACCACCCCAAAATCTCTTTCCCTGGCACCATGCTAAAGATAAGGACTGGTGTCTTCTGTGTGAGAGTAGTGGCTATCTGCAATTTTCCCTGAAAACATTGCTGATTGGAGCACAATTGCTTTGACTGTGTATGGGGTGTTTTCGTCTACTAGTGATGGACTGCCGCTTTTACACAGGGCAGTGGTCCTTCTTTGCAATGTGCTGCCAGGGAAAAAAAGTTCTGGGGTGGTGTTGTAGCTGCAATTAAAGAAAAACACAAAAGAATAAAAATGTATGTTTTCATGTAACCTCAGTTTATATAGTGTTTACTAAATTGTGCTTTAAATAGTATTTATCGCCCATCCTGCACCGTCATGTCTTTACAGGCATTATTACCCAATGGGAAATCATCAAGTTTTGCTTTCTTTTTCTTGGAAATCATATAAATATCCAAAAGTTAAATCTATATGATTTTAAGCACAAAGTAATAATGTGTAAAAATGTAAACCTTTCCAGTTGGACACAAAGAATGTAATAAAAGGCTAGAAGCAGAGGAACACTAAACATAATATGCACTAGTTAGAAAGTTTATTGTACCATGACTCTGCCTTATTATTTCATATTTCTCAGAAACCTGGAGTTTCTTTGTCAACATTCAACTGTATAAAATGTCTATACTTCTTTGCGGTACATGGTGTTTGTACATAGACCAAGGAAGCGTGCATATATACAATACAGAATGGTGTTACTGCTGTGTCAGTAAATATTCAAGGCAAAATATTAGTTTGTGGTCCAAGTCAGATTTATAGCTTGTGCTAATATATACTATTTAAGCTTTCTGGGAATAGCTGAGAATATGCATTAGCTTTCTGCTATAATTTTAAGACCATATCCTAATGAAAAATGCATATATTTAGGCAGACTTTAAAACCCAAGAGATTAAAAATTTATATAAATCCAACATGCTATTCATTATATCAGTTTGGTTAGAAATATACAGTAATGAGGCTAAAAATTAAGGGTGGGTGACATAACTCTAAATAACAGGTATTTACTATTTAATTTAGTTCTCGTATGTCTAGTTTTCATATATAAAGCAGTCTCTTCTATTGTAGAGATTTCTCAAATCTACATGGATTCATTACACAGTGCATCAACTTATAAAAACGCCAGAGGCATAGCAGTAAAAATTTACACTAAACATATAGAACACATTTAGAAAGCATTAAGTCAGGCCTTGCCTGCAATCTTAAGTGCAGACTAGTTTCAGTGCAGACATTCATGTACTATTCAAATCCCAAAGCAGATGGAATACAGGGCACAAAAATCATATTAAAAGTAAAGTTTACCCTTTGCAGTCTTTTCTTTTACTGATTTTTATTCACAGGTACATCAATAAAATAAAGTTTAGTGAAGGAAGGCTGCAAATCAAGCATTTAATGGTGTCTCAAGACCATTATTTAAATGGATCATTTAGTATATTAATTAATTACAAGAAGAAAAAAATAGCAAAGTTTTTAGGGGATAGGTGAACACAATGTCAACTGTAATCTGTTATGTTTCCTGACCTTACGAAAACCAATATTTCTCTCTGTATTAATATTAAAAAGCTTGGTATTCTGTTCTTAGGAGTGTAAAAATAATAGACAGAACACTTAATGTAGATACACACAGTTATGTTCGGAGCTAAACTATCTGAACAGTCATTGGCTGCACAATATTTTCAGAATATATGGGGAATAGTGGAAGTAGTGTAGCCCACTGTTTGCATGACCAGCAACTGATGATTTACCGCAAGACCTACTTACAAGGACCAATTGAGATAGCTGGTGTCCCTATCCACAAGAGACAGGAATGACACGTTTGCTATGGTGGGACAACATTTATAACTGACTGTTACTCAATTATAATATGAAAATGCTCAGGAAGTGGGTGGAGTATTTTAAAAACCAGTGCATATTTATGAAGCATGTCAACTTTTAGATGTGCTAGAATGCTCAGCAAACAATAAAATCTTTTGGTAGCACTGTGGGACACTGAGCCATATGAAGTGAAGTCATAAATATCTGTCAACTGAAGTGAGCGCTCTTCATTTAATATGTATTTCAAATGCTCTAATATTTTTTAGTATTGAAAGCCATTGATTCCCATACAGTATAGTACTCCTGCTCATTCCAGAAGTATTGGGTGCAGGCACTGTTCAGGTGTCTCAAGTAATACACCAAACAGAAAGTGTAAGGTGGGGGAATTAAACAATTCTGCCTCACCTCCACCCATAAGAGCAAGAGAGACCTCAACAGTCTTTTGACCAGTTGCTGCACTGTTGTATCACTCATCATTTATAACAGTTTCTTCATGAGTATGTCAGGTAACGTTCTTCCCTTATGCCTCCAGGGACCTATAAAAGCAAGAGAGATGCATCACTAAGTCAGTAACAGAAAATCAACTGATACAGGACCATACTTCCCCCCCCCCCTTGTCACTGCCTACATTATGTGGTTTTCATCCATACCACGTGGAAGGGAACAGTATTATTTTATTAGTTCAACTTGTCAGCTCAAGCCATAGAGTTTCTGTCATGTATTTGTCTAGAGGCCGGAGTGTTGAGAGGGCTCCCCTTGTGGCTGAGTGCAGAGTTCCCCTGAAAGTGATAACAGGAGATGCTCTGCCCAAAGAAGCATGGGTTGCCAGCTGTGGTAGCCTGAAGAGCTGAGATAATTATTACCAGATTACAAGCAGAATGAACTGGGCAGATGTCTCCCAGACGTAGCAGGCAATAGTTAACAACAGGGCAAGAGAGGAGGCAGGGTCAGGAGCCAGGCCAGTAGTCATGCATGGGAGGTCAGTCAGGAGCAGGGGCGGACTGACCATTTGGAAACTTGGGCACTGCCCGAGGGCCCGGGGTTAGTAGGGGGCCCCATGAGATGCCCCTGATACCTTTTTCATAGGCTTTTTTGAGTTTGGGCAAGGACACAGGGGCCCCATGATCCCCTATTGCCCGGGGGCCTCGTGAGTTGTCAGTCCACCCCTGGTTAGGAGCTGAAGTAGGAAGCAAGATCAGGAACAAGCCAGGGTCATACACAGGTGATCAGACAGCAGCAGAATCAGTAGACCAAGCCAGAATCATACACAAGTAGTCAGGAATCAGCAGAGTCCATTAGAGCAAGCCATGGATCAGAACCAGGAATGAAGACAAGATGGGTCAAAGGCAAGACAGGTCAGTAACAGACAATCCAATAACAGCAAACACAGTAGCAAAGGAACACAGGGGGCTGACGATCATCCAGCATCATCTAGAATCTATTGTTCATACTACAGCACACACACACACATACGTCAATCTGCCATGTGTACACCAATGGGCATGGAAGCCGCAAGATGCGGCCATGCTGGGTACTGGCAACAGTGCCAGTTCTTCTCCGATTAGTCCCCTGACAGTTAAGTTTCATTGTTTAATGTAATCTTTATTTGTTGCTAGTATTGTTTTTGTTTTTAGTTTATGGCATTATAATAAAGGCCTAACCAGGCCTGGACTGTCACAAAAAAATAGGCCCAGGTACTTTGGACTGAGCAGCCCAAAGCCTGGGACCCTTTCCTCGGAGCCTGTGGACGGAACGTCAGGGCCCGGTCATAAGAGCAACCTTTGCAACCCTGGTAATTCTGCCACTAGTGTCAGTACATTTTTATTTAATTTTTCACTATTATATATTTATTATTAAGAAAAAAGAGGGAAAGAAAGAGGGAAAGAAAGAGGGAAAGAGAGAGAAAGAGGGAAAGAGAGAGAAAGAGGGAAAGAGAGAGAAAGAGGGAAAGAGAGAGAGAGGAAGGAAAGAAAGAGAGAAAGAAAGAAAGAAAGAAGAAAGAAAGAAAGAAAGAAAGAAAGAAAGAAAGAAAGAAAGAAAGAAAGAAAGAAAGAAAGAAAGAAAGAAATGAGAAGAAATGAGATGAGGGAGGGGGCCGCTGGAGGAGAAGAGCGGGGGGTTGCTGGAGGAGATGAGAGGGGGCCACTGCTGGAGAAGGAAATGAGGAAATGGGAAGGGGGCGCTGGAGGAGATGAGGGAGGGGGCTGCTGGAGGAGATGAAGGAGGGGGTCACTTTAGGAGATGAGGGAGGGGGCCACTGGAGGAGATGGAGGGGGTCACTTTAGGAGATGAGGGAGAGGGCTGCTGGAAGAGATGAAGGAGTGGGCCACTGGAGGAGATGAGGGATGGGGCCGCTGAAGGAGATGAAGGAGGGGGCCACTGAAGGAGATGCCGCTGGAGGAGATGAGGGAGGAGGAGTGGGCTGCATACAGGAGCCGACCGCATACAGGAGATTGATAGGAGAGGTGGCTGGGCAGCACATAGAGGAACCGAGAAATGCATGGTTCTCTATGTGCTGCCCGGCCCCTCTCCTATACATGTGGCCCCTGCCCACCGGGCAAATACCTGGTGTGCCCTATGGCCAGTCCAGGCCTGGGCCTAACTATACAAGGTACCAGCGCTATCACTTATGTACACATATTCCATCAAATTAGGTGCAAAAAATGTATATTAACGTGAAATTAAGCCAAACAGTAAATAGCAATGTCCAAATTAATATGATACCAAACCCCAATTATAATAAAGGTATGTATTTGTTTGTTTATAAAAAAAAAATAACAATAATAATAACAGCAATAATAATAATAATAATAGGCTGCAATCAATTTATGTTCTATTAAATTATTTGTGTTTGTGAATTATAGTTAATTTTCTTCTGCCTTTGGTCCCATATATTCAGCATTTTCAGCATTGCTAGCATCCAGCTTCATGTGGACCTAAATTTAAAAAAAATATCAGAAGTATACAGTTAGTGCAATATTAAGTTTCTCTTTGGAATATAGACACTTATCCAGTGAACATGCAGATCTCATTCTGCTTTGTCTCAAGAGTAAACAGTCTGCATATGTGTGTAGCACTGAAAAGCAGTATCAAGAAAAATGCAAAATGATTATTATAATCTGTTTGATAAATGCTTCATTTAGCAACATTCACATTGCTTATACCATTTCTTTGGAAGCTAAGAAAAATATAACAGCTAGAATCCAAATGTGAGTAAGGATGATATTTAAAATGCAGTAACTGTTGAGAAGCAGCCATATATCAGTGCAATATATTATCCAAATGGTTAGCTGTCTTACCTTTTAATTCTGGGTTCTTGAGTTACCCTCTTGGGCCCCCCTCCCTCCTTTCCAGCTCCAGGAATATTATCTGCATGGTGTCCTCCTCATATCTGTTTAGGTTCCCTCCCACAGTCTAAAATAGAGATAAGCTTTGGACTGAACTAGAATTTAGCTGAAATTTTGCCTGATTGCTGTTTGGCAAAATGGGCAAACTAAATGCAAAGCCCGCCTGCCAAACTGAACCCCAGTTTGCAGTCGGAAGTGATTACTTGAGCAACAATATTACTACCACTACTAATTACTGCACGACAGTGTCCTGCTCAGGTTGGTTGTTAGGGAACCAGTGGCTTCTTAGCGACCAGTGACTCGTCCCCATCCGGGGCTATTGACCAGTGACTCGTCCCCATCCAGAAATAATAATGCATTCAAAATAATTTTTATCAAATAATCTCTTTATTATACAAAAAAATATATGTTTGAAACTAATCCTGGAAAGCCCTGTGTGCAGTTGTGTCTGCTTTTAAATAGTTTTATATTGGTGGGTAAAGATAAAGTGAAAAATGCTGTAAATATAAATTGCCAAATTATTATTAGAGTGACCTCATATTCGTAGATTAACAATTAATAATGGTGACTAGATACCTATCACAGAAAATGTTTCTGTGGGGCCCCATGAATAGTATGCACTTGGTCAGAACCACTTGCCACACATCAATGGGCCTTGTATCTGATGCCAGGACTGAGAGACAAAGCCCTGGTGGCCTTTGAGGAATGCCAATCAAGAAGGATGATGCCATAAAGGATGCTATAATTATGAAGTATCAAATGACCCCAGAGATCTGCATGTGGTAAACTGCCTACACACCACATTTTGTCTGTCGATTAAATGAGTGAAAGATGTTCCTATGATCACTGTAGGACTCAATGATCCAGGTAAAAGTCCAACACAGCTGTCCTGCAGAAATATGGGTATTTGGTGATGAAGCACAAGTATGAACCAACCAAAATGGTATAAGAAATAGGAGATACCTATGTAAATACCCAGATATCTGACCACTGTATGGTCCCCTCTAGTAGCCGGAAAGGAAGTAAACCACCAATGGCAACCCCTGCTACACCTGTGAGCCATGTCTTCCAAAGCCACTTCCCTGTTGGGCAGAAAGTGGGATGAAAGAGATTGGAATCTCAGATGCGATTCCCATACCAGTGCTGCTAGGCACAGATCTGGGAACTCTGGTCTCATATTATGCACCTTCTGATGACACCCATTATTCATCAGCCAGACCCTCTGGACATAACAGGGTACTGTGCAAAGATATGAGGGTGACATCAAGGAACTTGGGGATGGACAAAGGGAGGGAAGTAGATTGGATATTCAATTCTGTGCATGCAGTTATCCAACACATGTATACCTAACACAGAAAATATAATTATTGATTTTTTTTTCAATTTTACTTATAGCATTTTTTAAATATTCAAGACAGTAAAGGAAAATAGAAAAAAAGAAACAGAAAGATAAAGAAAAAAGCAAGGTAATTGCAATCTTCGAAAACATATATAAATAAGTGCCGAGCATGTACAAATATAAATTATACCTTATGATAACATATACCATATAGTATACTTATACCATAATTAATCTCATAAGCAAACAACTCAATGTGATAAAACACTAAAAAAACCAAAACAAAACAAAACAAAAATATATATATACACACACTCATTGGCCACTTTATTAGGTACATCTTGCTAGTGCCAAGAAAATATCCTGCACACCATTACACCAACACCACAAGCCTGAATCGTTGATAAAAGGAAACATGGATCCATGCTCTCATGTTGCTTATGCCAAATTCTGACCCCACCATCTGAATGTCGCAGCAACCAGTCTGCCTATTCTCCTCTGACATCAACAAGGCATTTTCGTCCACACAACCTCCATCCTCTGCAAACTCTAGAGATAGTTGTGCGTGAAAATCCCAGTAGAGTAGATCGGCAATTATTGAAATACTCAGACCAGCCTGTCTGTCACCAACAACCATGCCATCTTCAAAGTCACTTAAATTTACTTTCTTCCTCATTCTGATGGTCAGTTTGAACTTCAGCAAGTTGTCTTCACCTTGTCTTCATGCCTAAATGTATTGAGTTGCTGCCATGTTATTGGCTGATTAGCAATTTGTGTTACCAAGCAATTGAACAGGTGTACCCAATGAAATGGTCGGTGAGTGTATATATATACAAAAAAGTCCCTAGTGCCCATATATTCTTGCAAACATGGGTATTTGTGATACTGTATAGCATTCCAACCGTATCAACTGTTTTTCTTCTGCGTTTATAATCCTCCATAATATTCTTTTGCCATGTGCATATATCCCTTCATCAACATTTATATGCTTTCACCTTATGTTTAGACTTCAGAAGTAGGTCTCATGCACTTGCCCCTTTAAGTGGGGTCTCCTATGCTACTCTTGCAATGCCCTTCTCCAGCTTGTTGATGCTTCTTAATCCATCTTCATTCTTCACAATCCTTTGGTGGATGTTGGTAAAACACACAAAAAAAAAGAAGGAAATATAGTGCTCTCAAAATAATAAGCACTATTTTTTATTTAACCACTTGTCCTCCAGAGGATTTACCCCCCTTTCTGACCAGGCCATTTTTTGTGATAAGGCACTGCGTTACTTTAACTGACAATTGTGCAGTCATGCAATGCTGCACCCAAATAAAATTAACACCCTTTTTACCCCACGAATAGAGATTTCTGTTGGTGGTATTTGTTTATCTCTGCATTTTTAATTTTTTGCACTATATAAAAAAAAAGATAGACAATTTTGAAAAAAACCCCGATATTTTTGACTTTTTGCTATAAA